TAAGCGATCGATTGGTTTAGTATTGAAATGAATGCCAGAAATAATGAGAAAATGCTTTTTCACTGTCTATTGAAAGCGTGTTTACTATTCATTCATAAAACACTGTTTTTCTGACTCTCACTCTCTCGTAGACAACAATGCGATGAATTGTGTTAACTGTATGTTTGAAGTTATCATTGATTTCAATGGTGTTTCTCATCTGTCAGTTAACGCACTCTTTGTTTTAGGCATACATTTTATGGTAACTAATGGTTACGCGAGTCTTAAGTTTTTATTAAAGGCGCTAATTATGAATGAAATAGTGGTTTAAATGATTGCACGATATGTTTAACAAGTTTGCGGTAAATTTTACCATAATTTATCATTACCATGTTCAATATGTTTGACCAAAAATTATTTGATACGATAAATAAATAGCGAAAAACATGTATACATGTAGACTATTTATAAGCAATTATTAAATACAGACTTTTATTTTTGTAAAACACATTTCAAAGCACTTAAAACAAGATGATAATTATAACTGGATTTTAACTTATGGTAAAATAGATTATAAATTATTACTTTAACACAAAACAAATCACAAATAATATAACAACAAAATACTAAAGCAATGAAACTATTTAGTGAACAAACATTTAATTTTATACTTAAACTATACATTGTATTCATAATATTAATCCTGATTTATATCTATAAAATACATCCATTAGTAAACAAAAGTGACCTTAAATTACATTTAAACAACTCTTCGACAAAAGTGTTTAAAAATCCGCGAATACTATGTTTAGTGACAACACAACCAAAAAATCACAAAACAAAAGCTCTGGCAGTGAAGGAGACGTGGGGTAAGGCATGCGATATACTATACTTCGCCAGCTCTGAAGCTGATCCAGAGCTGCCGGCCATCGCTGTGGAGTGCGAATCGTACGACCATGATCATTTGCTGTGCAAGAACATCAAGGCCATTCGGTACGGCGCCCACAAGTTTAAGGGCCGCTTTGATTGGCTGTTTAAGGCCGACGACGACACGTTCGCAGTGATGGATAATCTCAAGTATTTGGTCCGGGAGTCGGACCCCAACGATGCCGTTTGGTTTGGCTGTCCCTTCGCTCTCGGAGGCAATCGCACCAAACTCTATATGAGTGGAGGTATAGTAATAGTGATTATTTTGGGCTCAAAACTACCCACATATTCATATTAAAAACTTTTGTCAATACAATCTAACCATAATTTATATACATTTAAGGCGCCGGTTATGTAAGTAAAGGGAGATGTGATTTTGAAACACAATTTTCTCAATTGATTTGTTTGACAATTGAAGGCAATCAGTAGCGAAGCCATCAATCGGCTGATGAATGAGTTTGAAAATCCCAGCAAATGTATGGATTGGGATCTGAAGCGAGAGACCGGTGCCGACGACTGGGAGATCGGGAGGTGTGAGCACTGAATCCCATTTAAACATAGATTATAATTATTATAACACACATTAAATTCACTCAAATAAACAGCTGTTTAAACAAATTGAACGTTAAAATCGGCGAAGAGAGGGATGCCGTCAATAAGAAACGCTTCTTTCCCTTCAGACCCGAAGAGTTAATTTACCCGAAGGGAGACTTTTACGACTGGTTTAAGACCTATAATGTTAATAACGTTACAAGAGTAACACATAATTGATTTTAAATATTAACAATTGATCAATATTTACAATTAAACGTTATTCTTATGATAGGGTCTCGACTGTTGCAGTAATAAAACCATTGCTTTCCATTACGTCTCGGCTGAAGACATGTATGTCTACCACTTCCTAATCCATCATTTGATTGTCAAGACATCGATATAAAAGAATGCAAATAAAGAGATTAATTATTACAATTGTTTTGTAATCGTATTTTTAAAATGATAACAATTTTCATTATATATTTTTGACACCTTTTGGGTAAACTTACTGTAAATATGTTTCAAAACTGCTATAACTTTCAGTCCCTATTCACTGTTCCATCGGTAACACAAATACACTGTTCATGTCATTGTGGATACAGTGATGTAGAAATCATATAACAGTAACTATAACTCTATTTAAAAAAATATATTTTACTTATTAACAAAAATAGACATCAAATCAGATGAACACAAAAATACATAAAGAAATATAAATTAACAGTAAATTGTATATAAATATAAAATGAATTAATTAAGAAACAAAACAAAAAACAAAAATGAAATGTCTATCAAATGACTATAACTTCTTAACCTTTAGCCGACTCTTCATCTTCTCATTGACGGGAATGTCAACGAAAACCTCTTCCTTCTGAGAGCTCTTGTCTTTTAACTGAATCTTAATCTTTTGGTCCAAAGTCTTCACTTTGCGCTCAACGGCCGGCGGCTTATTCTCAGCGTCACTGCCCTCGACCTGACCCTCGGTCTGGCCATCGATGCCTTCCAGTCCATCAACATTAGCGTTAACATCGGGCTCATCACTGGCCTCATTGGGAACCTCTTCCTCCTGATCCCAGCCCTCTTCGACGGTGATGTGAACTCCAGCGCCGGACGATATGAGCTGTGACTCGTGTGCAAAGGCTATCTTATTGATAATACGGCGCTCGACCTCGTGTTTGATACTACGGGCGCCGTAATAGACGTTATACTCGTCGGCAATGAGACCGACCACACGCTTATCCCACGTGAGCGACATTTGGTGCCTCTTGAGAGCCCTGTCCGCCCAGTACTGCAACTCCCGGATCACCAATTGGTTCAACTCGTGGCGCGAGAACTGCAAAAAGTACACCATTTCGTTGATACGGCCCAAGAACTCGTCCCGTTTGAAGTGTTGCTTCAGTATCGGCCGAATCACCTCCTCTTTGAACTGTTTGGACACCTGAACCATCTCTTCGGTGTCGTCCTCCACGGTCTCCAACGACGAGGCCTTCTCGAGCCGTGTTTTGGCCGCCTCTTCGGCCGCTTTGCGCAACGACTGGCCGTACGCTCCGATCTCATCGGACGCCAGGTTTGATGTCATGATAAAAATGGCGTCTTTGCACTCAATTGTCTGTCCCTTTCCGTCAGTCAATCGGCCCTAAAATAGGGTCAACAAAACACAAGATTTAATTAAAACCAAACACTCCTAAGCGGTGACCCCAACCCCTCCCGAACCACTCGCACAGCCCATACCTCGTCAAAGAGTTGCAACAAAATGGTGAGCACATCGTTGTGGGCCTTCTCCACCTCATCGAACAGTACGACAGCGTTGGGAGAGTCGCGCAGAGCTTTGGTCAGTTGTCCGCCGTCGTCGTGGCCAACATAGCCGGGAGGGGCGCCAATGAATTTGGACACCTCGTGCTTCTCCTGGTATTCAGTCATATCCATGCGAATGAAACCCTTGCCGTTCGGCTGCAGATAAGCGGCCACTTGTTTGGCGAGTTCTGTCTTCCCGATGCCCGACGAGCCCAAGAAGAGCATCACCAGCGGGTGTTCGTCGTCGTACCAGCCGTTCTCTTTGCGCCGAATGGCCGCCGCGACTGTCGTGATGGCCGACTGTTGGCCAACAATCACCGTTTTGATGCGCTCTTCCAGCGGGAACTTCAGCCTCTCGTCCAGTCGTCTCTTCGCCTCCGCCGCTGAGTAGCGCTTCTCGGCCTCAATCAACGTCTTCTGGATCTCGCGGTCGTCCACTTTGCAGTAGTCGTACGGCTTGTGTCCGATCTCGTTCTCGACGGACGGATTGGCGCCGCGACTCACCAACAGATCGACGGTCGCACCGCTGGCCGACAGCACCGCGTAGTGCAGAGCAGTGGTGCCCCTAAACGACACCCGAGTGGACAACAGGTCCGAGAAGTCCTGTTCGCGACGCGACGCCACTGTCAAGTAGTTTAGGCCGTAATAATAGGACATCTTCTGCGCCGAAGAGTACTCATCGGTGGCGTCGATGTCGGCGCCCGACTCCAGCAACAGTTGACACACGTCTGTCCGTCCGTTCACTGCGGCCAACAGTAATGGATTCCAGCCCAGAGTGTGGCGACAGTTCGGGTCCACCTTCTGGTCGGCCAACAGCTGTCGCACAGCCGGTGTATCGCCCGAACGGATGGCCGCGAAGAGCTGCTCCTCTTGAGGCGTGTTTTGCCGTTTGTATCGATTCCGGTCTCCGTTTCCGCCGCCGTTGGGGTTATAGCTGTCGTCGCGCATCAGTAGGCAGTGGACGGCCCGTACGGCCACTGCGGAGGACAGCCATCGGCGGTGACCGTCGGCTCCTTCGGGTGGCCAGCGTTTGGCGGCGAAGTAATGACAGCAACAGTAGAGTGAGGCCAACGACGACAGGGCTGTTGTCGAGCGGCGCCAGCGGTGGTAGCGATGCTGACCGCGGGTAGAGGTGGTGCCGGTTGTGGTGGCCATCGGTCGCCGCCCGTAACGGCCGGTAGAGGTCAGCGCCGACGACACCGCCTCTCGAGTCACGTGTTTTATGCGAACCAAAGACATGACAATAGAAGAGTTGACTCACAGTTCACTTCGAGTTCACAACAAATCGAATGAATGTATGGTTTTGTTCGAACGCTTCGATCGCTTGTCTTAGAGACCAGTTTGTCGTTCGAATCGTTTTGATTGGTTCGCGACTCTGGCCTAAGCGACGCCCTATACTCACTATAGTGAACCCCGAGATTTGCGATCCTATTGTGTATTTTAGTGTGAATTAAATGACCCCAGAATTGAATGTTTATTTAGTTGTTGTCTATTTTGAATGTTTATTAATTAAAAGTGTTTCCAATGTTTAACTAATGTTTTTAATTGACTTTTTTGTCTGTAAATTATAGCGAGAGTTGACTGTAGCATGAATACAGTTAAAACATATATCGGGTATTGTTTTTGGCCGTAAATGACGTCCACAACTAATTAGTGCCCAAACTTTTGGACTACAATACGTTTTGTCATAAAATCCATACAAACTTAACTTTTGATGCATTTGTGCCCAACATTTAAACATCAATTGTAATTAATTTTGAGATTAATTTTCAGTTTATTTTAATAAAATATAATTGTAGTTATAATTTATTTCTATTTTTAATACAATTATTTAAATGCAATGTTATTAATAAATGTTTAGAAACTTTATACTAATTGACACAGTTATGTACAATATTTGTTTAATTTATACCGGTAATAACTTAGTAATAATCTATATTTTATTAATAAATTAAATTCAAACAAATTAAACATTAAAAATTTTAACTCTTTATTGAATGAAAGTTAAAATATAAAATTAAATAATCAAATATAAAATTGACATTATTTTAATTATTTGTGTCTTTTAGTGATAATGAAAACCGGATTGTGTTTAGGAATTATTGAGAACTGAAACTCGTATTCAAGCTTTCGATCGGTTTTATGGTTGGCTTTGATGTCGTATTTCTGAAGCAAAATCGTACGATTCGCACTCCACAGCGATGGCCGGCAGCTCTGGATCAGCTTCAGAGCTGGCGAAGTATAGTATATCGCATGCCTTACCCCACGTCTCCTTCACTGCCAGAGCTTTTGTTTTGTGATTTTGTGGTTGTGTTGTCACTAAACATAGTATTCGCGGATTTTTAAACACTTTTGTCGAAGAGTTGTTTGAATGTAATTTAAGGTCACTTTTGTTTACTAATGGATGTATTTTATAGATATAAATCAGGATTAATATTATGAATACAATGTATAGTTTAAGTATAAAATTAAATGTTTGTTCACTGAATAGTTTCATTGCTTTAGTATTTTGTTGTTATATTATTTGTGATTTTTTGTGGCAAAGTAATAATTTATAATCTATTTTACCATAAGTTAAAATCTAGTTATAATTATCATCTTGTATTAAGTGCTTTGAAATGTGTTTTACAAAAATAAAAGTCTGTATTTAATAATAGCTTATAAATAATCTACATGTATACATGTTTTTCGTTATTTAATTATCATATTAAATAATTTTTGGGTAAAACATATTGAACATGGTAATGATAAATTATGGTAAAATTTACCGCAAACTTGTTAAACATATCGTGCAATCATTTAAACTACTATTTCATTCATAATTAGCGCCTTTAATAAAAACTTAAGACTCGCGTAACCGTTAGTTACCATAAAATGTATGCCTAAAACAAAGAGTGCGTTAACTGACAGCTGCCAAACACCATTGAAATCAATGACAACTTCAAACATACAGTTAACACAATTCATCGCATTGTTGTCTACGAGAGAGAGTGAGAGTCAGAAAAACAGTGTTTTATGAATGAATAGTAAACACGCTTTCAATAGACAGTGAAAAAGCATTTTCTCATTATTTCTGGCATTCATTTCAATACTAAACCAATCGATCGCTTA